TGTGTGTGTGTGTGTGTGTGTGTGAGAGAGAGAGAGAGAGAGAGAGAGAGAGAGAGAGAGAGAGAGAGACATTAGCTTGTCTACAGTCCCTTAAATGTTCTTTGTTCATCGGCTTGTCTTCCCCTCATGTGAGTGGCCATGTGGTCTGCATGCTTCTAGAACTTCCATGCCCTCATCCATGCTCCTTAAGAATTCGATCTGGAAGGGTCTAACCTTTTCACAAATCGTTTTCAACTTAACGCTTGTGGCAGTCCAGAGAGAAGAAACTGTTGGTTAACCGCTTTATAGGTAAAAGGATTGGAGTTCAGAGAGGTTAAGGGACCTGGCACAGCTCACACAGCTCTGCTGGGCTGACCTTCGATGCGCACAGAAGACTGTGGGATTCCAAAACCTCCACTTTTAAGGCTCCACAGCACAGACAAGGTTAAGACTTTCAGGAGGATGTGGGTGGCCACCCAGCACCCGGTATCTGCCAATGACGCCATTCTGCCATACTGTGGACTGGACCCGAACACTAGGTCACAGATCCATCAGTTATAGCGATTGTTTGTCTGTTTGGGTTTTGTTTTGTGAGACGGGGTCTGGCCTTGAACTCTTGATCCTTCTGCCGCAACTTCCCTGAATGTTGGAGGTGAGCACCACCACGGCTGGTCAACTGATAAAGACCAAGAGTGAGTCCATCACCTGTCAAGATACCAGTGACCTGGGTGTGACAGCCATCGAGAATCAATTGATCCTGCTGCTACAAGCAAGAGTCAGCCATTACAACCGTCATTGGTGTTAAGCAAGTCTTTTTAACGTCTCTTTTAATTCTTCTGCTCTCTCTCTCTCTCTCTCTCTCTCTCTCTCTCTCTCTCTCTCTCTCTCTCTCACACACACACACACACACACACGTTGGTGGTTTCTCTTGGAGTTGCAATATGATCTTCATTTATCACCATTTCCTTCAGATCAACACTAATTTAATTCTGGTAAAATATTAGACGCTTGGCCCAACACGGTCTCATCATCTCCCCCGGCTTGGCACTTGAACCTCAAAATCTGTTTGCTGTGTAATATAAAATACACATTAAGCCATCAGAAAGCTGTTAAACTATATTGAGCATTTCTGGGAGCCAGGAGCCAGACCGAACACTGCTCAGGAGCGATAACGTGTCATCTTAAAAAACCAATCAAACCCCAAACCAGAACCATGAGGGGACATGTGACATCCTTCTTGGGAGGGGAAGAATAGAATCCAGAAACCACTGGGTAATTTCCTTATGGGTATCCCAGTAACCCTGGTGAAAATAGGCTCCTAAATGAGATGGCCTGAGTCTTAGGAACATTCTCAGGGATCAGGAATCAGGCTCAGTCACAGAAATGCTTGCCTGAGAAGCATGCAGACCTGAGTCAAGCTCAATACCCAGGACCCATGCTGTTTTGTTTGTTTTGTTTTAAAGGCCTGGTCTGCTAGTAGTGCATGTTCAAAATCGTAGCACTGGGTGAGTAGAGACCTGTGGATACCTGGCCTCCGTGGTGACCCCCAGACCAGGGAGAGAGCCTGCCTTACAAATTACTAAATGAATATACAAACATAGACCAATGCCTACACACACACACACACACACACACACACACACACACACACCATGGACACACACGAACATACACATGAACACACATACAAATAACCCTCACAGGAGTAGGAAAACAATTTCAGGCCAGATGACAAGGAAACAAAGCCAGACTCCTTCATGCCTAAGAGATGGGACATTTCAAGGCTGACCTTGCGGAATCCAACACCCAGGGTCCCATACACTATGACTAGCACGACTCACTTCTCTAAGCAGTGCTGGGGTGCAGAGCTGTCAATCACCGTCACCATGGCTGGGCAGAACGACGCTATAGACGCGCCCCCTCCCCATCTGTGGCCACCTCTGACCTTGATTCCTCTCTCTGAACACCACTACCCTCCCTCTCTCTCTTCCATGCCTTTCATTTGGAAGACACGATATGGGCTTGAAGTAGATGCTCTCCTCGATCGGAGAGCATTCAGAAGGCAGCCAAGCGCAACTCGAATATTTTCCATCTTTCTGGTGAGCCTGAACTAATGGGTTAGCCCAAAGTGACTCGGAGGAAATCAATACTACGCAGCCCCCCGCCCCCCCTCCCCACCCCCTGCTCCTTGAGCTGCTCAGAGGGAGCAATCCCGAGTCAACCAGCTCCTCCCACTTAACCCTCCCCGCAAACCTGGACTGAGGAGCTCCCATGGTACACTGGAGTCCTTGCTCCTGGTGGTGGTGGTAGGGGGTGGGCTCTGGGTTTCCTCTCCCCAGAACTACAGCTGAGACCACTTCCCCTCTTTGCCCTGCCACTTCTCGGATGGATCTGCTTTGAATCACTGGGTGACATGGCTCCGGAGCAGGGATTCCCTTTAACAAAAGGCAGAGTGTCGTTTCAGAGTTCCGTTCCCATCTTGGAGTCATTCCACGCCTCCATCCTCACCCGAATCTGGAGCAAGTCAATAAATAGATGAGCGAAGAAGGTGTTGATGGCTCTGACCACCCCCCACCCCCGAAGGATGCCTCCCCGCACCCCATCATGTCATCCTGGGAGAACAGAGCCCTGCCGCAGAACCTGGGCTGAGAACTCGAAAGCTCTGTCTTCTTCGGCGCTCACACCACTGTTTCAATTAGGATCAAACAAACCCCACTAATTCTTTTAAAAGCTTGAACGTGACTGGGCCAGAGTTCCAGCATGAGTTGTCTGGCCTCGGGGGCTCGTGTTGTGTCTGGCTGGTCCCCATGACAGCTCATCACCGGCCCCAGTACCTGGCCCTGAGTGATGCTGACAGGGGTTTTGCCCACCCTGCCCTGGCAGGGGCAAGATGACAAACTTTACAGACAGACAAATCCAAGTGGAGGGATGCCACAATGAAAGAAGGAATGGAGGCCACACCCGAACGAACGTCTCCAGCTCACCACCCTGCCCACACAGCCCCATCTTGGCAAAACACCCTGATTGGTTGTGACACCAGAATTAATCCCGACCTACGTTCAACTGCTGACCCAAAACCCACGCTTGAGAGTAAGTTCTAGTACTGGTTCCTTTAAACATCAATCACTCAGGCAGAAATGGTGGCGGTCTAGGGCCGCATGATCAGGCTTGCTCCATTGTCTCCCATCCTACTGGTCTAAGTGGAGTCATATGACTACAATTAACAGCAAGGGAAGCTGGGAAATGTAGTCTTTAGTTGGATGACATTATTTCAAGCTGGGGTACCCCTTTGACTCAAGAGATTGCATACAGGAAGACAAATAGGAGTTTGTTTTTTATTTAATCATATTTAAATTAGTATTTAAATAATTATCAGTGCCCCATGTTATATTTTATGATCATGCCTATGTGGGTGTGGCAGGGAGCCATATGTCATTCATATAACTTTGTATCCTATATGTAGTTGCCCTAGAGGTGAGCATAGGAATGCATGCTCATCATCCCAGCACTGAGAAGCCCAAGGTAGGAGGATTGCATGTTCAGAGCTATCCTGGACTACATAATGAGACCCTGTCTCAAAACACCAAGAGGGGGAAAAAAATCTTTCTAGATTGCTTAGACTACATAATAAAACAAACTGCTCAGTTAATGCTGTATTGCTTATGTCTTTACCAGCAAAGAAAGGTGAGAGAAGTCAGCTCCTGCCAGTCCACCTCCACCCCACTGGCCTTACCCCCACGGCTGATGGAATGCCTGGAAGGGAGTCTCAGGTATGTGGAAGGTCAACTGTTTTTCTACTACAGATAATACTTAGGTGTGACCCTCTGCTCCCCTCAAGTATTTTGTATCAGTCAGGCTTCAGTTGAAAACACTTGATAAAAATCAAAGCATCTACTAGGGAGAATTGAAAAATAAGGTATTTAAAAGATGTGGAGGGGGGGCACTATCTCAGGCTCTTGGTGCTGGGGTGTTTTTGGGTCTTGGCCCACTCATGATATAGAACCCGCTGAGTATTATGGAGTCGTCTGGGGAATAAGGCATGAAAGGAAAAAAAAAAAAATCAGAGATCACGGAGAGACCGGTAACTTGCCCTGGGGATGGAGGGAAGCCTGAAGGTGCCTGCTGTGGTTAGCGTCAGGCCATGGCAGGCCGCGGCAGACCGGTGCAGAAGGCTGTAGAGGATGGCTGACTTTTCACAGCTTCCGCTGATGGGTTATACAGTGAGAGACAGAGTCAGGGGTTGGGGGAGATGCTCAAAGTGTCTGCTGTCTAAAGTGCAAGCATGGGGGGCCTGAGTTTGGATCCCCAGAGTGCAGATGAGAAGCCCAGCATGACTGTGCATGCCTACAGCCTCAACACTAGGAGGCAAAGACAGGCTGGCCTCCGGAGCTCATCAGTCAACCAGTGGAGCCACCTAGTGCGTTCTAGATCCAGCAGAGAGACCCTGCATCAAAGAATAAGGTGGAGGGCCCTCAAGGAAGACACCCCATTTTGGAGTCAAACCCTAAACGTCCCCAAAGGAAGAATTTATTGTTGTCTTTTATTTTTGATTTGGAGGTGAGGTTTGATGTAGCTCAGGTGAACCTTGACCTCCCTATGTGGCTGAAGGTGACCTTGAACGTTTAACCACTTCTAACCAGTTTATATGAATGCTGGTGACTGAATTCAGGCCTTTGTATCTTAGGCAAGCACCCTGCCAAGCTACACCTACAGCTCCAGAAGGAGAATTAGGTGTTTCTTTTCCCCAACTTTCAAACTTGAGAAGCCCCCATACCTCTGGGTGAGGACGGAGCAATTGTGCCACTGGCAGAGGTTTCTTTGGGACAAATTCTGCAATTTCTTTTTTTAAAAGAATTTTTGGTGCATTAATTTTTTTTTTTATTCGTTAAAGTGAGCACACGTGTTTTTTTTCCACAGGAACTCCGGGAAGCCAAGCAGAGTCATTATTATTTTATTTTGCATAGCCCTCATTTTACAACCAGAGCACTGGCTGCTCAGATTTAATTTCCTTGGGGACACCCAGGGCCTGTGGTGCTGGAGGATGCTGTTCCAGGGTGGAATGCGAGCCATCGCAAAGGACTCTGGGTTCTTGGTCTCCATGCCAGTTTCTCATTCTCCACTGCACAGGCACCACATGCCCAACATGGTTGGAAATAGTTGATTTACTGGGCTGGGTAGAAATCCAAGCTATGCTCATTATCCAAGGGCCTTAGGCCATCTGGATCCCCAAATAAATGATCCACGGAAGGAAGCATTTGCTAACAGAGAGATTGAATTCTCCAGCATCAAGGATATCTGTATTAGTTACTTTTCTCTTTGCTGTGGCCAAATGCCTGACAAGAAGCCATTTAAGGAAGGAAGGGCTTACCTGGCTTACAGTTCAGGGAGATGCTGTCTGTTCTGGTAGGGAAGGCATGGCAGCAGGCAGGGGTGGTGGAGCAAGCTGGTTGCATTGCATCTGCAGTCAGAGAGCCAAGAGTGACCAGGAAGTGAAGTCAGGCTATAAAGCATGTCCCCTTCCTGTCCCTCTACCCCTCCAATTCCTCCAATGAGGCCCCACCTCCCCAAAACAGCGCCACCTGCTGGAGACTGAGTGTTCAAACACAAGCCTGTGGGGGACATATCAAATCACAACATTCAGAATGGAGTTAGATGTCAGGATGTTTGCCTGCCCCCAATGTAGACTTGTGGGTTTTGCCTTTATAAGCCTGTGACGAACATAATTCTCTGCCATTCTCAGGGAATCCTGGCTATGAACCTGGCCAGTGTCCATTGTCCTGGCCAGTATTTAATAAAGTTTGATTCAAATTTGGCTCAAAACAAAAAAAATAGGTCATACAGCCCTCTTTAAAGGGGGTGTGGGTAGGGATATGATGCAAGATGCCAGGCAGTTCATTTGTAAAAAAATTTATTTAAAAAATGTAACTTGAAGCTGGGCACAGTGATGCATGCCTTTAATCCCAGCCCTCAGGGGGCATAGGTAGGAGAACCTTCTGGTTCCTGGGCAGCCTGGTCTACAAAGTGAGTTCCAGGACAGCCTGGGCTACACAGAGAAACACTGTGCAAACTTCAGGTCCTACAGATGCAGGCAGTGTGGAAAGCACAGGAAAAAAAGATCGTGGAGGCATTCCTAGGCATCTTATTGATGAGAGTTTTATTTATTTATTTATTTAAGAAATGCAAACACTTATTGCTTGTGTATGTATGTGGGCATGTGTGTATGTGTACAGTTCTCTCAGAGGCTCGAAGAAGGTGCTAGATTCCCCTGGAATAACTGGAGTTATAGGTGTTTGGGAACCGAACCCAGGTCCTCTGCTAGAGCAGCAAGTGTTCTTAACCACTGAGTCATAGCTCCAGCCTGGGTTGAAAAGCAGAATTAAAGAGTCATCTGTATCCAGAGATGAAGAACTATGACCTGTGTGCCCAAGCTGGCCCACTACTGATTTTCATAAGTAACGTTTCACAGGAACATGGCCAGGTTCATACGTCTGCATAGTGCCTGTGGCCACTGCCACCTCTGACAAGGGCAGAGTTGAGTGGACTACCTGGACTGATGGGCATCCCAGGCATAACACCTTTGCCATTTGGTCCTTCGCAAAGTAAACTGACTTCTGCTCTACCAGGGACTCTTAGAGGGCAAAAGAGAGCCCAAGTTCCTGAGAGTGGACAGGTCGGTGTCCCGCCCGCTTACCTGAGGCTCTCTCATAGACCACACTCGGGCCAGGAAACATCCGACTAAAATGACTGGTTCCCACTCAGGCCCTGATTACATCCCTCCTCTCTTGTTCAAGCAGGTTTTGTGGCTGTCCATTAACCACAGGAATTTAACCACGTTCCATCCATCTTATCCATATCTTCCCCAGTTCTCTTACACAGTCCCTCTTTGACCCCAGGGGCCACTGTAGACTCTTCTATTTCACCAAGTGTATAAGACCTAGATTTCCAGAGCTCTAAACCTATAAACCCACCTGTTACCACCGGCAGAAATAGGTATAGACTCACAGGCTGCAGCTGGGAACACGCCCATCAAGATAAAGACTACATTTCCCAGACTGCTTTGCAGCTACTCATAACCATGTGACTATTTCTCACCAATGAGATGCATGTAGGTAAATATAACTTCCTGGCTGTGCCATCTTCCTCCTACCTCTCTGCTTTAAGTGGAAAGCAGCTATTGGGGGGGCTTTTGTAGGCAGAAGTCACAGATTGCGGATGACTGAGAACCCCAGTACAAGGATCCCATGCCTCCCACTCTGTGGAATGAAGAGCCTGGATCCCTTAGGCTCAGAATCTTACTGCGTAGAGAAGTTGCGCTTTATTTAAGCCCCGTTTTCGTTGGCCATTGCTGTGGTGGCTACGCCTTACTTGACTAATAACCTGGCCTCTCCTCCTCGCTATTCTATGGTGGATTTAGGAAAGGCTGGCGGAATGGTTCTGTGAGCGGGGACGCCTTTGACAGAAGGAATAGATACCCCAACTTCCCCCAGTTGGGTGCACTTAAGGACCACAGCTCCATACCCGGAGCCCAGGCCCCCGGCTCAGAGCAGAGACCCCTCAATACACCGTTTTCAGCCAATTGTCCCTCCTCCAGCCAGCGCTATATTTCAGGCAAAATAAACAGGATCAGTTATTGCCATGGTAACTTCACACTTTGTAGGAAGGAAGTTGGAGCTTGGGCAAGGGACAGGTTTCCCCCGAGGGGAAAGAAACAGGCTGCTTGGACCCTTTCTCCGAGTGGACTGGGTTGGCCCCCTCTCAACTCAGGATTAACGAGTGTCAGGCTTCTAAACTAATGGGCTGGGGATTCGCCTCGCCAACTTCTGGCTCCTTCTTGGCAGTTCCGTGGACTTCCTCTGCCGCTGCAACCACTGAAGCGTGGCAGTAAGTAGGGTTGGGTTCGAAGTCTGCACCCTGCCACAGAAATCTGAGGATTGCCCTGCCTACTCTGTGGCCCACCAGGGACAATCAGCGCTGGCCTAAGCCTTCCCACGTCTCCCTTCCCAGTCCTCATTTATGGGGGAAGGAACAGCTGGCCTTATAAAAATAACCGAATCTACAGTGTACATTGACTGAGATTCAACTTCTAAATTTCGCGCAGTGTCTGGCGGACCAAGCCAGGCGCAGGATCACGCCCCCCTCGCCCCACCCCTGCTCCGCTT